ACGACACATTTTCAATAACTTTTGTAGCAGATAGAAGTATCTCGGGATGAATATTTCGTTTTTTTTTTTTGAATATACTGTCCATTTCATCTTTGAATTCAAAAAATTTTCGTCCTCTACCTGTTTTATTCTGATTATCTACGAACTTTTTGTATCCCCTTTCCAATACACGCCATTTATTTTCACAATGCGACGGGGACACATTTATATGTAAATTTTTATTTATTTCCTTGGCTATAATCTCCCATAATTTTTTTAAATTTCTTATTTGGAGAGTTCCAACCTTAGGTTTATATTTCTTATATAAATCTATTAATACTTTAGACTGATTGGTGGTCCAGACCACATAGTCTACAGTTTTAACACTACTATCTTCAACATGGTTTTCATGGTAAATAATAATTTCTTCCATATCTAAAACAAATTAGTATTTATTATAGGTAACTGCATGATAATAATAATTATAAAGATTTACCTTCCTCATTGTTTTCCATTTTAAAGAAGAAACAATTTACTTTGTTACAGCGAATAAAATAACACAAAATTTGTTTATTTAATATAGGCAACTTGCCAGCTCGATAGGATATTGTTCCAACAAAAATCACAAACTAGTTCGCGGCTGGTTAAATTCGCACATGCGTATTGTGCAGCAGTCAGAAACTGCCCTGAACTAGTTTCTGATTCTTTGTAGGAACAAACCTATTATATACGCAATTTGACTGTGCAACCGGAATAGTCTCTAAGTATTTAAGAATATTAATTCGGCATCTACATGGAGACGGAGTGTTAGGTTACGCACGATAAGACACACACACATACACGTTAATTAAAACTAAATAAGAAATGAAATAATTAATAAAATGTTAAAAGAACTAAAAAATATACATGGAGGGACGGAATACCGAGCTTGCCACCTTGATAAGTTTGTATTCATAGGTCATTGTTGTAGCCGTCGTCCTCGTCGCTATCAGAGAGTTCTGTTTCAGATGATTCGCTATCATCATCTAAATTTATAATGATCTCATGCGTTTCATCCAGAATGTATTCTCGGCTGAAGTACTCTTCTTCTACTTTATCAACATGCCTGCAAGTATTTGCCCATATTTCTGACGTGATTTCATTTAGCCCAATTTTTGCTAGTTCTAAAACATCTGCTAATTTAAAAGTCGTGTTTCTTGCTGCAACTTCATTTTTTAAAATGGCCCATATCTTTTCAATTGGGTTAAGTTCCGGATGATATGGTGGTAAACGTAAAACCGAGTGGCCGTGCTGTGCTAATAATTGGTCTACAGCATATACTGGGTTTTTAGGTTTAGCAATGAGTATCTTACTGTAGAGCTTGTTTTGTTTCGCTTTCATCGAAAAATATATTTCTTTTTGTCAACCATTTTTTTTTCGAAGCCGATGTATAAGATTTTTCCAGAGTCACATTATGATATGAGGCGTTGTCTATTACTAAAACTGACTTGGAAGGTAAATTGGGAAGAAGTTTGTCTTTCAACCACTTCATATAATTCTGGTGATTCATGTCATCATGACAATCACCAGTTTTTTGTCCGGATTTGAAAATGAAAGCGGCATTTTCGACAAATCCATTTTTACCACCACAATGTAAGATGATCAGTCGTTGCCCTTTAGATACCGGAGATGTTATGTACTTGTTTCGTCCATCATCCCAACCTTTTGGAACTGTGTGGGAACTATGTATATAAGTTTCGTCACTATATACAATATTTCTATCTAAAAAAATTGTGAATTACTTTAAAATTAGTTATAATGTAAATAAATAAATATCTTACTTTCAGATTTGTATTTTTTCAGTTTTCTTAGAAATTATGTTTATTTGGCTCTTATGTCAGTTTTTTCAATTAAAATTTTTCTATTGTCTTCCACTTTTCTCCACCTAAATCCTAATTTTTTCAACAATTTTTCTGAAAGAAGATAGTTTACCAGTTACAATTCCTTCGTTTCTAACAGATTCGTAAACAGTTTTCATGGTAGGTCTTCTTTTATAGATGGTAGCAAACGTGTAAATGGTATTTCTTATGACGTGTTCCTCAAATGGATTGACTGATGACTTGGGGCTGGGCTTGCAAATACTTGTTCTGGGTGATACAAATTGTGAAGTTGCTGGTTTGTTTTTACCTTCCTTAGTTATCCTTTTTACCGTACTTTCTGAGGTACCAGTTGCTTGAGCCACTCGCACTATTAGGGGTAAAGGAGTTGTGCAATATCCCAAATCTTTTTCCCGTTTCATAAATGAATAAACGTTAAAAATAATTTGCCTCACTTATCTATGGACCACTTTTCTATTGTTACTTTCCCTGTAAAACCGGTAGGTTTTAGATAATAGATAAAATGTTAAATATTGGTTAAGTTTAAGAAAAACATTAAAAAAAAATGAATTGAAAAGAAAAGTACTTTAAAAGTTTGTAAAGCATTTAATCCTCTGGCTTTATACATTCTAGAAACTAAATGCTTTACACACTTTTAAAACACTTCATTTTAATTTATTAATTTAGGACAAGCTTTTACAATACATATCAATCTTTTGCAAAAAATATTAAAATAAACAATAAAGTTATCAGATTTTACACACTTTTAAAAGTGATTTTTTTTAATTCATTAATTTGTCATAAGTGTACAAAACATATAAATTATTTTAAAATAAACATAATTAAACTGTTAAAAATGACTTGAAACGCACTGAACATAAATAGTATCTCACTATAAAATATTAAAAACGATTGATCACAAAAATGCAAAAATATTAAAGCTATTTCACTAACGCAAAAAACTAGTTCGTCTCTGTCTCGCTAAGATAACGCACCGAAGAGAACTCAATGTTTTTAGCAATGCCTGATTTCGTTGTTTCATCCGTAGATCGACGTCACTAAATAATGACGTCAGGTCCACGACATTATGAATTATCTTTAACTGTGGCAACTTTCTTAGCTGTAGATGTCTAGTCGAGTTAGCTCGCACTCATCAAGAATCATATCCTCTTGCAAGCGATACTATGCTCAATGCATGCTATGTAGATGACCTGTTGTATGGTGCTGGTGACCCAACAAATCTCTTAAAGGCTTATTTTGAAATCACAGAATTATTGAACAAGGTAGGAATATCAGTACACAAATGTTGCTATAACTCTCAAACATTTTTGGAAAATGTCTCCTCTCATTCCCATGATTCCAATTATGTTATAGCTCCAGAAAATGGTAATAGTAAGGTATTAGGACTCTACTGGAATGTCAACTCAGATGTATTCTTAATTTCTGTACTTCAGTTCTCGCAAGAATCACTCAATCACCATATCAAAACCACCTATACTAAAAGAGAAATGCTTTCGCTGATAGCACAAATTTTTGATCCTGAAGGTCTCATTGCTCCAGTAGTAATTATTGCAAAATTAATAATGAGAACAACTTGGCTTGCAAAAATTGATTGGGATGACCTCTGAAATTTTGAAAGAATGGCTAAAATTCATTCAAGGTCTATCTTGCTTGCAGTCACTAAAAATTCCTAGAAGTCTCTTCAAAAATAAAAATACTAGAAAAATTGAAATTCATGGCTTCTCAGATGCTAGTACACAAGCATATGCGTATACATTATTGTTATTTATGACTCTAACACTTTCTCTTGTGCTCTTATCGCCTCTAAAAGCAGAGTGGCTCCACTCAAAATGGTTATCCTTCCCAGACTCGAACTTATGGGTGCTGTTATATGCTCAAAACTCACCCAACGAATTGTTAGTACCCTCAAAATCAAAATCCCACAGATTGATTCCATAAATTTATGGAATGACTCAGAGATTGTTCTAGCTTGGTTAAAATCACCTCCTTCACGTTGGACTCACTTTGTTACCAATAGAGTGGCAACAATACAAGAAATCTCAGAATTTATCTGGAGGTATGTTAAATCCAAGGAAAATCCTGCAGATATTTTGTCTCGAGGTATATCACCGTTAGAACTTTCGAATAGTACACTCTGGTTTAATGGTCCACATTTTCTGTCCCAAATTGATTTAGATCTCACCTTTTTCAACTCCAAAAACAAAATTAATCACGTTCTAGAAGAAAAAAAATCTCAGATTGTCCATCATATTCAAGTCTCTCCCTCGTTTCTAGATGAACTCATTCAACCATTCTCTTTATTTACAAATCTATAAAGAGTAATTGCTTCTTGCATAAGATTTGCTCATAATACCAAGAAACCATCAGAACAATTCTCCAACAATCTTTCTGTAAGTGAACTCAAATCGGCTGAACTCATAATTGTCAAACTCATACAAGATGACTCGTTTTCACAAGAACTTGCCCTTCTCAAAACTAAAAGGCCAATTACAAACAAATCCCTTTTGTCCATGAACCCCTTTCTGGATGAACAATGAAATGTTGAGAGTTGGTGGAAAGTTAAAATATGCCTCTGTACGATTTGACCAAAAGTATTCTCTTCTCTTGCCTTCTAGGAATCAGCTAGTGAAACTTATGCTAGGGAGGGAGCATATTAGATTGTGTCATGCTGGTCCACAATGTACACTCTCCAACTTCAGACTAAAATATTGGGCTCTTGATGCTCTGCGGGAGATCAAAAGAATTGTTAACAGTTGTAAAATATGCTTCCGTTTTAAGGCTCAAACAGCATCTCAGCTGATGGCAGACTTGCCAAGAGAACGTCTAGTGTATTCGCAAGCATTTACAAATGTTGGAACAGACCTAGGTGGACCACACAATCTCAAATATTCCAAACTTCGTAAAGCTCCTATAACCAAATGTTATATTGTTGTGTTTATCTGTATGGTCACTCGAGCATGCCATCTGGAATGTGTCTTCAATCTTACCACAGAATCATTTCTGCTCACCCTCAAGCGTTTTATCAATAGACATTTCTTGTATTTTTTGTAAGTGTGTAAAGTTTTATATAATCAAGCCCTTCTTCTCCACTGTGCATGTACTCAGGGCCTCGTGATCGATTGGGGTCCCCTAGATTACTAAATGTTAACCGAATCGGTTATCTAGGCACGGAGAAGATATATGTGAAATATAAAATCCTTTATCGATATAACTGATATCGTACGTGTTAATCTAAAACAGCGATTATAACGATTAAGTTCATATAGAAACATTAGTCAACGCTGTGGCTTGAAAACTCTAATGCCTGGTTGCACCAACATATCTTAAGCTTAAGGCGTGCCTTAAGCTCAACTTACGAAACATACGCGTTGCACCATTGAGCCTTAGGTCGATTTTCAGCTTAAACCTATCTTAATCTCTATTCTCAGCTTAAGCTGAGTTTAAGATAAGATGAGCAATCTAACCTCAAAAAATTGAAACTGTGGTTCCCTCCTCTAATCTATGGTTTGGTTTTGTTGTGAAATATAGATAACACATTTATATTAAAAATAAAAATGGATATTAATTTTGTTGATTTAATAGACAATGTCGACATTGTAGACGAAGAACGATTACCACTATTTGCGAATATCCCTCGTAAGGTATTTGTTCGTAATAATCCCTTTGATAAATACGGGGATGCAGAATTTTTTGTACGATTTCGTCTAACAAAAGAATGTGTCCTGCATATTTTGGAAATTGTGGAACCACAATTAGAATATATGCATAATTTGTAAGTAAAAAAGCTTTATTTATTATAAATAAATAATAATAAAATAATATAAAAAAAAATAAAATAAAAAAAAACATAAATGGTATCAAGTAGGAGTACAAAAGTGAGATTGCTTTGATTGTATTTATATTTACAGGAATAATTCCCTCAGTCCCATCCATCAACTATTGGTAACTTTGAGGCTGTATGCCACAGTAATGCATTTGGTCGCAATAGGTGATTTTATAGAAGCTGACAAATCTACTATATCTAGGATTGTGAAGAGAGTTACAGGATGCTTGGCATCTTTACGGCCTGATTATATTAAAATGCCACAAACTGAACCAACCATAAATCAAAGACAACAGCAATTTTACGAAATTGCTAGATTTCCTAGAGTCATTGGGGCGATTGATGGTTGTCATATAAAAATAATTTGTCCAGGTAAATATAAATCAAAATTCAAAAAATAACCATTGCAAAATGAAATGTTTTTGTAGGGGGAGAAGATGGTGAAATCTATAGAAATAGGAAATCATATTTTTCCATAAATGTGCAAGCAGTAGCCAGTGCAAATTTTTTATTTCAAGACATAGTAGCTAGATGGCCAGGTTCTGTCCATGATTCAACTATTTTCAATAATAGCAGGATAAAACAGAGATTTGAAGAAGGAGAATTTGGAAACAGCATCTTGTTAGGTGTCTATACTTTTAATCTACTGTAATTTACTTTGATACATCATAAATCCTACAAACATGTTGCACCCTTGATGATAAAAAATATTGTGGGCCAAAATAAAATATGTTCACATCAGTTTACCATCATAATTTTTATTTTAGGAGATAGCGGATATATGGTGCACAACTATCTACTGACTCCTTTCTTAAATCCTACTACGGAAGGCGAAAGGCAATACAACATAAGCTTAGTTCAAAGTAGGGTAAAGGTGGAAAACACATTTGGTATTTGGAAGAGGTGGTTTCCTATTTTAGCATATGGTTGTCGTTTAAAACTTCAAACAACTTTAAATATTATTGTTGCAACTGCAGTATTGCATAATATTGCACAATTCAATGGGGAACCTGAACCTCCTCTTGATAATGTTAATGCAGAAGAATTTGAAGAACTTATACAAAATGGTAATATTCCTGCAGCACCGGTCCCTAATAATGTTGTTAGGGATTTTCGAAAGGAACTTGTAGACAATTATTTTAATATAATATAAACACCATAAACATTATTTAGATATAAGGAACTGTAGCTGTAAGTATGATTTCTTAAGCTTTCCAATTTATTGCTAGTATGTGCATGGTAGTGAATCCTAGTTTTAAGTTAAATGTATATATTTATTAATAATCATCCATCATGTGGATTATGAATGTTGCTTAAACTCGATGTTAAAGAAACAAACAGAAATAATTTGGTTTATGATTTTCGGAATCGTGATTACTTTGCGATTAACAACTTCCTTGCTTCCATAGACTGGCAGATATGTATAGTTAATGATTTTGAAGTTGCTACAAAATTATTCTATGAAGTTTTCTCTACCAAATAACAACAACCTATACATACCTATCCATCCATTATATACCAACTTATTACAAATATTTGTCCTTCTAAGATTACCATAACTGATATTTTTAATGGCATAAATGAACTGCTTAATAAGCTTACTGCTGGTCCAGATGGTGTGACTAATTTTTTATTAAAAAAGTATGTCTGTACCCTTGTAATACCATTTGTTATATTGCTTAATAGATCTCTAGAGACCTCTATGTTTCCTTCTTCATGGAAAGAAAGTTATGTTGTTCCTATATTTAAAAATTGTCAGAAAGACAATATTGTCAGACAATTGAAAATTATCATAGCATTGTATACAATCTGCAATCGCTAAGCTCTTCAATAGTCTTATAGCAAAGCAACTTTCTTGGTTATGTAAAGGCTTAATATCTCAATCGCAACATGGTTATCATAGCAAAAAATCCACTGCAACAAATTTGGTTTGCTATCAATCTGATATATTATCTCATATGGAAGACTGTAAACAGGTAGATGCAATATACACAAATTTTTCCAAGGCATTTAATTGTATGGATCACCAAATACTTTTGGGCAAATTAATTAATGTAGGCTTTCATGTCAGGTTTGTTGAATGGATTAAAAACTGTACATCTGGGAGACGTCAAAGAGTCAATATAGGTTGTCATCTATCTGACAGTATCACGGTATCATCTGGAGTTCCTCAAGGAGGCCACACTTCTCTACTTCTTTTTAATATCTTCGTTAACAACATCACTTCCTGTTTCCTAAATAGCAAATGTCTAATGTTGGCAGATGACTTGAAATTTTGGAAGGTTATAGACAGTTTAAAAAATCAAGCCTTGCTACAAAATGACTTAGACAGACTACAAATTTGGTGCAATCAGAACAAACTCCACTTAAATGTAAAAAAATGTTGTTTTATAAGTTTTTTTCATAAAGTCAATAGAACTGAAACAAGCTATACTACTAATAATCAGCCACTGAATTATGTTTCTTCTATTCGGGATTTGAGTGTAATTTTTGATGAGAAGCTTACTTTCTGTGACCATAAAAACTCTATTTCAATAAAGGCATATAAACTTCTTAGTTTCGTTATTAGGAATTGCAAGTATTTCTCCATTAATTCAACAAGATTAGTGTATTGTTGCTTAGTTAGAACTATTTTGGAATACTGTCCAGTTATTTGGTCACACTATTTTCAGAATAATATTGATACCATAGAGTCCAGCATAAATTTTTGAGATATTATGCTTACCACATTCACACACTACTATTGAAGATCATGATTATTTCTGTATTGAACAACAATTATCTTTACCCTCACTCAAGAACCATAGTGACATGTCAGGAGCTATATTTATATATATATATATATATAAGATCATACATGGATTTATTGATTGTCCAAACCTGTTAAGCCAGATTAACTTTAATGTTCCCCATCAAGCTCTACAGTACCACAATGTTTTCAATATTTCTTTCCACAGAACAACCTATGGCATTCACAACCCATTGGATAGATACATGGGGCTATTAAATGATCGCGATTTTGATATTTTCAATATAAGTTTAACTCAGTTAAAAGATCTCTTGCTTTGTGATATGTATATTGGGATTGTTGAATTTTCTTCTTGTTTGTTTTTTTAGACTGTAAGATTTTTAGTCTTTTTTTTTTAAACTTTTTAATATTGATTTTATATTATAAGTAACTTCAAGTTTTGAATCCTAACTGTGATATTGTATATTGTAATTTAAACTGTTAATGGGGTTATCCTGTGTATCAAATAAATAAAATAAAATTTAATTTTTTTATATCACCTGATATCATAGTTTATTGTCATAAAGAAAAACTCATTAAGTATACATTTCAGTAAATGACAGCTTTGCCACTGTTTAAAGTTTGTTGTATTTTTGTTAGAAAAGGTCAACAACCACCATAATCAGCCATATAATATAGCAAAACCCTTATAATGTAGATTATGCTATTGGTTGATTGAGATAGGTGGTGATCTTTTTGAGAAAAAGGTACAAGAAAACTAAATGGTCAATTACTGTAATGTATACTTAATGATTTTTTGTTATTAACGTTTGACACAGCATTTAAAAAATATACTTATTTAAATCACAGAATAATAAACAATCAGAATGCCCACTCTCGATGGAAAATTAAGTACATGCATCTCCTTCGCGCAGACGTTCCGCCATGTGTTAGAGGGAACCAGTATTGTTTATGTGGTGTACATAGAAAAATTAACCCGGTTTAATTGGCTTACGGCAATCATAATATACATAGGGGAGAGTGTCAATGAAACGGACAGTTCACTTTAATGACCCAGTACATTATTATGTTGATTTGAAATACCACAAACAATTTATTAAACACAAATTTAATACTTGCGCTTCATTTGTATAACACGCATACCTCAATAGAAGATTTTTTTTTGAATACTTTGATGTAAAGAATAAAATGAATTTTGTCCGTTTCGGCCCGCCGATGCCTTGAAAAGGACATACGGTGCTTTGAACCGGACAGGGAAGCTAATATGCGTCTAATTTGCTTTCGAATATTGTACATGCTTTGGGAATACCACAAAATAATTAAAGACACGTTTTAAGTAACTTTTTATTTACTATGTTGCAAGTATAGGTGAAACGAAATGCTCTTAAATAAAAAAAAACAGACTTGCACAAATCGAAAAAATTTGTGTGATCAAAATAACAAAAATTTGCCTTTTTTTAATTCAATAAAATTTTAACTTGGTAAGTACATACTTAACACGGGATAGAGTCATGAATAATATGGGATAGTCATGAATATTCAGTTACAATTATTGCAAAAGAAATTAAGAACTCCTTTAAGACCACAAGTTTCATGAGCCCAATAGTGACAAATGAAACACTGCAGCCAATCGATTTTGCTTGAGGCATAATCACCTTTACAAACCGTACACAGTTCTTGTTTATTGTCATTATTTGTCATATTCTTCTTAGTATACAGAGATAAAGAAGCTTCATCATCACTTGAATCGTGTAACGATATGTTTGTATCCGATTCTTCTGTTGTGAATTCATGGTCTTTAGCACTGTGTAACTTTCTTTTTCTTTCATTTGATACTTTCCTTTTTTTGTATGAGCTTGACTCCCCAGACGTAGACTCCTTGCATATAATACTGTTCACTCTTTTCTTTGTTTCAAGTGATACCTTTCCTCTTTTCGCAAGGCTGCCTCCTTTTCCTCCAGCAATTTGTCCTTTTCTGGTGTATCAGTAATTATTGCTGTTTTCCCTTTACGAGGTCGTTGACTATCTGTTTTTCTAGGTGGAGCTTTTGGGTAGGGTCTGATTTGTTCCGGAGTCAAAGATGATCCACATAATGTCTCTGGATCTTGAACTGGTAGATCAGCATGTAGTATAGAGTTAGATGAATATGGTTCGATATTACTTGAACTATTGGTAATCGGTGGAATAGAATCATACGGACGGTCTGTCACAGAGCATGACAAGAAGTCATCGACAGAAAATATATTACGGTTGAATGGATATATTCCAGTTTTTGAAAATCCTTTTAATATATTTTGCATCGAAAATCCATGAACGAAAGCTTCATTGGCGAATTGAGCTACTTCATAAATAGTAACAGTTTTGCCTGGGTGGGTTAACATCCATGCATTCATTGCGGATCGATATCGTGTCTTAGAAGGACCAAAAACAGACACATCAGCTGGTTGCAATCGGTGACTACAGTGTGGAGGAAATGTGAGCATCACGATACTATTTTGTCTTGCAAGAATCACTGTATCCAACGTAATATGAGTTTTGTGATTATCCATTAATATTAAACAAGGAATGTCTTTCGAAGGTTTAACAAATTTAATAAAATGTTTAATGGCATTTAAAAAGGCATCTTCCGTGATCCATCCACTGGGGTTTGCTAAGCCAAGAGCACCTTGTGGTCCATCTTTCAACATTATGTCCTTGTAATGGACACGTAGGAAAACAAATACCGGGGGTATCGTGCCACCTGACGCATTAAGAAAACCGAGCATTGTTACTAAATTCCCTCTTTCGGCGGACGTCACTTGTCCTACTTGCTTTGAGCCCTTAACAGCTATTACCTTTGGAGGATTTGTCACCGTACTACAACCAGTTTCATCTAGGTTTCAAATCATATGTGGCAGAAAGTTGTATTTTTTTAAAACAAGCTCTAAATTGTCAAAAAATTTATTGACATTCTCGGGATTAAACGAAGTGGCTCTCGATAACGACGTATTTTCTGGTTTTCGGACAGAAAGTGTGACATTTCTTTGTAAAAAACCATGAAGCCACTCCTTTGTTGCTTTTTCCTGTTTTGTCCATGCATCTGGCGTATTGATTTGGCGTATTGAAATGCAAGTTCTCGTACCTGTACAGTTGTTAATCCGTAACACATTTTAGAGCACGTCTTAAGGTAATCTGCAAGCATCTTTTCTTGTTCACAGGTGAAAATGCGCCTATTGCCAATGTTGGGTAGATGGGTCGTACGGTGTATCTTGAGCTTGGGCTGATTTGCATAAATCAGCTAAATAAGATTTGGAAATGCCGTAAGCCTTAGCTACTGATCTAACTGATTGACCTTTATTCAACACTTCTTTAACAGCTAAATTGATTTGAGAGCTTGTAGGGCGAACCCGCTTTTTTTTGTTAATGTCCATACTCTAAAAGAGAATAAGTAGATGTTATTTTCCTAACTTATTTGAGATTTCAATGAATACCTATTAATTTGTATGTTTTGTGACTGTTGGCTTGTGGCATGTTTACATTAGAAGTTGTGTTTATGGGAATAAGCCACAATAATTGTAATCAAAATTCCATTTTTTACAATGACGTTTCGACTTCCAAACCGGAAATAGAGCGTTTCATTTTCCGCTAAACTAGGCTAAATAGATGCTTTTTTCTATTTTTTTTTGTTTTTTAGGTAAATTCTAACATTTTGAGAACAATTTCCGGTTTGGAAGTCGAAACGTCAATGTAAAAAATGTAATTTTAATTACAATTATTGTGGCTTATTCCCATAAACACAACTTCTGACCTATTAATTTGATAATAGACTATTCGATGTTATGAAAAGGACACATCGACGCATTGAAACGGACGTCCATTTCAATAAATTATTGTCTGTCCGTTTCAAGACAATTGTCGTGTTTGTTTATTAACCTCAAAAAACCAAATAATTCTAATAGATTTTTCAAATATCTCTATACCTTTACGTACTTAATGCATACACAAACCATATTGTCTAATTATGATAAAGACATTAAACATAGTTTACCTGTGAAAGAGTTCACTTTTGACACAAAATATTTACTTTTTTATCTACAGAAACGATATTGAAGGTCACGCACTTGTTTACGGCGGAATCAAGATGTTGGCTTTGTGGCGCAAGGAAGTGGAAGTATTTGTAACCATAATGCGTTCGGTTTAGTCAGAGTGGCGTGGAGTTCCGAAATATAGCGATTGTCCGTTTCATAACCTGTCCGTTTCATTGACACTCTCCCCTACTATACAATTATATTAACATTGTTAAATATTTATTAAACATAAATATAAACAATTACATAACCTCACAAATCATATGTCTGTGTTATGTGTTTCCTTCTAAAAAATGGCGAAAAACTTCAAAGGCGGCATCTGAGAGTGGGCATTCTGATTGTTTATTATTCTGTGTTTAAATTAGCATATGAACATAAAAAAATCTTAAGAATGCTTTAATTTCTTTTCTGCGAGTTGTCTTTCTATATCATACATTGTTTCTTTGTGTTCATATTCTAGTTGAAGTAGTCTCCGCTTATTTAACATTTCGTCTCTAAGCATATCTGCCTGTATTTTTAAGACTTTAACTTTAGCCTCTTCTACAGCACAATTCCTTTTTACTGGTCTCCTTTTTTGGACCCACTGCCGGTTTGCCCTTCTCTTCTGAATACTGCTGTCTTCTACATTGGGTTCTTCTACCACAAGTTCTTCCACACCACTTATATTATGGTTTTGGTTATATTCTGGGTCATTGTCACTTGCCATATATGTGTTTGTAGATGCTGAAATTTTTTTACAATACTTTATTATACCATTTTTAACATGATTTGATAATTATTTTTACTATTGATAAGAAACTTGTACATACATTGAGACAAAGGGTCACAGTCGTTCTCATTGTCAAGACCAGATATTGTTTTGGTATTAATAACTTCTAAAATAATTGTCTCCTCTATATCTTTTGCCTCTGGAGCTGGAGGTCCCCCTCCCGTCTTATACAACTGCCGTCGTGATTCTGCAGCCTTCTTTCTGCAGTCTTGCTTAATGTTTGACCACTGCTTCCTCAAAGAAGATTCATCTCGGTGAACATGTGTTAGCTAAAAATATATTACAATACAATTATCGAGTTACACTATTATTTCTTATTACAATTAATATATGATGCAAATTTAACATAAAATTTTCTCAAGGCTCTATTAGAATAACTTTTATTTTTTAAAAGTGAAACTGGAACAAACCATGAAGTGGAGATATCCAGGAGTGGCTCTAGTATACTGTTGAACACAAAGCATGTGGTGTTCGTGTGTATTAAGGTATAAAAAAAGCTAGCCCTATACTCCGCACAGATCAGAGATAATGTAAGTCGATAAAACCTCACCAGCTACAGGGGTCATGTAAGATGCCCCATTTTCAGTTTTTATTAATCAAAAAGTTATAGGTCTATTGCATTTACCTTTATAAATACCATAAGGATTGTTTTTTAATACGGATGTCCTTTCAATGTGTTTATGTGGCCATACAATGTTTTTTAACAACTTTTTATTAAACTGATGATGGAATGATTCAATTCCGAAAAGATCTTCTTTAAAATAAAAATTTTAAGCTTTTAATAAGCATTTTTTTTACCTTAATACACACGAACACCACGTGCTTTTTATTTTTAGTGATAATTTTGCTAGGCCAGGGGAAATATATTAATTAAGTTGTTTAGTGAACACACTTATTAAATATCAAATCATATATTAGAACTTACCTTTTCGTTAAATTGTATTGTGATATGTTTCCACGCTTCATCTTTTTCCTTATTGCTCACAGCATTAGTGGATTTATTTTCTATGATATCTTTGTTTACCTGTACTAGATGAATAAGTAATTTGTTTTCATCTGGAGTATAATTAATTCTCTTTTTTTCCATTTTTAAAATTAAATTAAAAGTTTGTAAATGCTGAAACGAAAATTGCGCGGGACTAAATAAAGTGTAAATAAACCTCAAAGCGCCACTTCAATAATTTACAATTGACAAGTTACATGGTTGTCAGTGTTGCCACGTAGTTAAGACGTGCTTAGATAAGAATCGAAAATTATGGTGCAACGTAAGTGAGAGTTAAGCATGACTAGCACGAGTTAAGGCGGCCTTAGGACTTAAGCGGAGTTTGGCTAAGCAGAACTTAAGATGTGTTGGTGCAACCAGGCATAAATTTCCAATAGTTGAGACACAGTTACAAAGAAGTTGCTGAAATCTATTATGAAGACGTACACGAGAAGTTAGGAATGGAATGTCTGCATTTAACAGAATACTTGGAAGGCACTAATAGTATCCTGGAAATATATTATTTTTTAAATGGGAAAAAAATTGAAGACACCTTTCTTGGTGCTACTATAATATGCAGTCTACCTGTCTATCTATTATAATGTACAAAATAAGTCAATTTTGTGACTGATTCCCAACTAAAATAGTAAATTAAGTGATACCAAAAAATAAATTGGCCAGCTTGAGAACATGATCTAGTATCTAATTTTCATGATGTGCCGAAAACAATGGGGCTCTACCAAGAGACTCTGATTTGACTTCCTTTAATAAATTTTTAACCTTAAGTTTTCTCCACAATGTAGCTTCTGGTATTGAAAATGCCCTTGCACTTCCCGAATTTTACGACCATCTCTACAAATTGCATTCAATGCTGCATTAAGAGCTGCTGCAGAAAATGATCCTCTCTGTGTTTTTCGTATATATTTTCCCATTTCTAAAAAAGAAAAAATGCCTCAAAATGCAAAATAGACACTAAATAATAAATATTCTATACTCCATTGTTATTTAAGGTAATGAACTGAAAAGGCAAAGATGAACTATAACAGCAAAGATGACGCAGTCTGCGCCAACTTAGCCTGTTCAGCATAACCTACAAAAAATGGTTATCAAAATTATCCATCATCAAATATTTAACAGATAAATCCTCGCTAACTGAAAATAAATATCACCTACTCCCATGAATATGAAGAAAATCCAATGGAACCATTTTTAAACAACTTACCATTAATATTCGCAGTGTCAAAAATAACAAGAAATCAACGTGTATCGCGTTACTCCGCCTCACAGATACTAAACAGTACGAAAGCTGACCGATGAAGTTTTAAAGTAATAGTAGTTTCTAAAGGAGGGCGCCACGGGTATAAAAACTGAATTTAGTGAAGTACTTGATAAAATACAGAGGTGCGTCATCTTAGACGCTGCGTCATCTTCCCCGTCCTTCCCCTATATAATTCTTAGAAGACACAAACATATTATTAATGTAGTTAATGTTACAAGAAATGTAGTATTCATGAGATAGGTTCATATTTAAGATAAAAATATTACAATATGATTCAGTTTATTCTTCTAATTCCCAAAAATAAATAATAAAGGAAAAACAGGTACTAATTTAGAATTAAATTACCAAATGGAAAAAAAATCAAGAAAGCCATGGAATCAGTTTAGGTATAAAATTCACAAAAGACACAAAATGAAGTACATAAATTCTTGGAAGATACAAAATGATAATTAAAATAAGGTCAAAAAAATATAAACATAATAACATAACAAGACTTACCATATGATTTCATTTGTTTAAATTCTGATTTAAAGCAAATCATTTAAATTTCTAATATTGCCGTATATATACTGCAGCACTAAGTGTTATGATTGATTTATTGGATACCACCACTGGTTTACCCAACAAATTATCCTGCAATTCCCATTTTCCATTTCTTCTGAAGCAATAGGCTTTAAAATGTCCAGGGGTATAAGCTATCACTCCACTCAATCTAAAAATATAAAAATTGCTTTAGTGAAATATGTGATAGTAAATAGTGGTTTATTAATTGTTTAGTTGTTTGCTTTTTAATTGATTGCTTAGACATTTTGGTTGTAGCTGTTAATATGCTGTTATATCAAAAATTTAATATTTTTGTGTTCATCGTGGAGTGGGAAATAACACAATGGCAAAATTGGAACTGCTTTTGTTTGACCATTAAAAATTTTTAGTTCAAAAGACCTTTTCAAAATAAACACATTTTTTTATAGTTGTCAATTTTTTTCAATATTTTTCTAAAGCCAATAAAGAAATTCCAACTTTAAAATAAGTATTGCTAAATTCCATTATACAATAGTTACAAAATTAAAATATTACTTAAAAAAATGTATAAAAATAAATTATTCATTAACTGAATTGATAATTATTAGCTGCAAATGTGGCTGCCTTTTCTAAGTCTTCCAAACTACAGCTAATTAATTCGGAAATCAAATTCTTCCCCAACTCTAACTCCACATATATGTGGTGGTTGTATACCCTGTTAACCCCACAAACCTGATGACAATGATGGCAAGAAGATTGGAAAATTGTGGACATTTCTTGTAGATGATTTCCTAAGAATGCATAGCCAAGTTCGCCTAATTTTTGTTGATCTGTGACACATATTGTTAGGATGTTGGTGGAATAAGTGTTACAATTCACACAAGAATATGTGTCGAACCCACTAGGGCAATCTTGAAAACATATACTCCAAATTGACGCCGCTGAATCATATAAATCTAATTGGTGGGGGAAAAGCTGGCATTTATTCTCATATGCAGTAGATCCTGTTTTGTTCGTAAAGATGGACGTTAGTAACATTGCCCTTTCTTTATAGATTGGGTCAATAGTTAAAGCTTTTATGAACTTCAAAATAAATATCACCGTTTTTGATGGACTCATTTCACAGAAAGCATAATAGGCTGGATCATCTACTGCCGCTGTTGCCAGAATTTGAATGATTGAATCAAAAGGGCATGTATTTTGTATGTAATAGTGGATATCTTTTATCAGCGCTGGTCACAGATTGTTGCCATTTTTAAGAATATTCATTTTTCTTGTGCTTACATTTGATTTTATATTGTTATTAATAAAAGAAATACTGGGATGATTTTTAAAATAGAAGCCTTTTTTTTTCTTTTGGTGCCTTGTCTAAAATTTTCTCATCTATAGGGTTGTCATAGTCATTATCCTCTGGCTTCGATTTATTTCGCCAATTATCGTAAGTACCTGCGTCTTCGTTTAAGATTTCATTGGATGTATCTGGCATACTTTTATCTTCTGGTGTGCTATCGTGGAGTGGGAAATAACACAATGGCAAAATTGGAACTGCTTTTGTTTGACCATTAAAAATTTTTAGTTCAAAAGACCTTTTCAAAATAAACACATTTTTTTATAGTTGTCAATTTTTTTCAATATTTTTCTAAAGCCAATAAAGAAATTCCAACTTTAAATAAGTATTGCTAAATTCCATTATACAATAGTTACAAAATTAAAATATTACTTAAAAAAATGTATAAAAATAAATTATTCATTAACTGAATTGATAATTATTAGCTGCAAATGTGGCTGCCTTTTCTAAGTCTTCCAAACTACAGCTAATTAATTCGGAAATCAAATTCTTCCCCAACTCTAACTCCACATATATGTGGTGGTTGTATACCCTGTTAACCCCACAAACCTGATGACAATGATGGCAAGAAGATTGGAAAATTGTGGACATTTCTTGTAGATGATTTCCTAAGAATGCATAGCCAAGTTCGCCTAATTTTTGTTGATCTGTGACACATATTGTTAGGATGTTGGTGGAATAAGTGTTACAATTCACACAAGAATATGTGTCGAACCCACTAGGGCAATCTTGAAAACATATACTCCAAATTGACGCCGCTGAATCATATAAATCTAATTGGTGGGGGAAAAGCTGGCATTTATTCTCATATGCAGTAGATCCTGTTTTGTTCGTAAAGATGGACGTTAGTAACATTGCCCTTTCTTTATAGATTGGGTCAATAGTTAAAGCTTTTATGAACTTCAAAATAAATATCACCGTTTTTGATGGACTCATTTCACAGAAAGCATAATAGGCTGGATCATCTACTGCCGCTGTTGCCAGAATTTGAATGATTGAATCAAAAGGGCATGTATTTTGTATGTAATAGTGGATATCTTTTATCAGCGCTGGTCACAGATTGTTGCCATTTTTAAGAATATTCATTTTTCTTGTGCTTACATTTGATTTTATATTGTTATTAATAAAAGAAATACTGGGATGATTTTTAAAATAGAAGCCTTTTTTTTTTCTTTTGGTGCCTTGTCTAAAATTTTCTCATCTATAGGGTTGTCATAGTCATTATCCTCTGGCTTCGATTTATTTCGCCAATTATCGTAAGTACCTGCGTCTTCGTTTAAGATTTCATTGGATGTATCTGGCATACTTTTATCTTCTGGTGTGCTATCTTGTGACTCGTTTTTATTTCAACATGTCGAAACTCATTTAATAAAAAATGATTATTTAAAATAACTGATCCCCTTGATGATCTTGAAAATCAATTTTTAAAAATTTGTCGACTCTTATTAAATTTTTATAATTTGATAATACCCGATTTTTTTTTTTGTCATTAAAATATGCTTCTATATGACTAGTTGTTGCATGTCCTTGTTTACCTCGTAGACAAGCTGCAGACCACAGAGGGAATTCTACTGCAACTGTTTTAAAAAAGTCGTCTATGAATTTTTTATTGTAAAATCCATTGGCCTCCGCACCTTTCTCATCTATTTCTACAGCCGATTCTTGGATGTTGTTTATCCATGATTTAATGGCAGAGCTCTTTTCATAGTTAAAAAACGTGACATCGTTCATTTTACCGTCTTCTGACTTGCTCAATAATGTGTCAGTAATAGGATAAGAGCGATCACTGATCATTTGCTCTAATACATGCCTAATCTCTTTAACACTTTTCCCGTTCCGTAAAATTGAGTCACTGTATTGGTTTAAACAGACTGTACATAGCATTTTTAATATTATTTTAAAATCTTTTAATGTCTGTGCATCGATTAACAAGGATATACACAATAAGTAAAATTG